TGAACTGCGCAATTGTCTGGGCCACCAGCACGTTGAACCAGTCCAACGACTCCGGCTGGTGGCTGTCAACATTGTAGTACGTCTTGTTTAAGATGGATCCGATCGTAAGTGTCGGAGGGTTACGCAAAACACTTGACTTCTTCTTGTCGGGCCCAGGCCGTGTCTGTCTTGTATTCTGCGTGCGCAGGGTGAGGAGGGACTGTCGATGAGCAAGGGTACGAGAGCGTCGCTCTGTGGCACGGATCGACGCCGTCACTTCGGGGGAGGGAGGATCGCCAAAGATGAAGAATTTGATAAAGGCCGCTAGCAGCAGGATTACGGAGAGCTGGCCGACAATAAGCCCTTGAGTGAACGACAAGCTGTTCGAGCAGGAGAAGTCAGTTCGAGGTTCCCCGTGGTGACTAGAGGGTACACTTTTTAGCAGGCTGACCCACGTCGGCTCAGGCTTCGTCGGACACATATTGTCCGTCGCCATGGTTGTGTTCTAACAAGAATACCGGTGGTGAGAGGCATCGACAATCTTGTCTCGTGGCTCTATTACCTCTGTTTGGCCATTGTGCTCCATCTGTGTTGAAAGAGAGGGTTTGTTTGTCGAAGTGAAAATAGCTACCTAGGAATTTAGTGAATTAATTGTAGGTAGGTAGACTGGACTGAATTGAAGCAGCTTGAAGCTCAAACACCTTATCTTATCCGGATGACGTAACTTATACTCTAGTCTCATGGGCTAATTGCTCTGATTTGAAAGTAGCGAGGACTTGGCTAACTAACGCAGCGCTACAGCCTACTACTAGTTCCGGGCAAGTGTAGGTGAGCCGACCTAGACCTGCCACCTCTCCCGGCTGGAACTTGTCTCCTGCTACCTTTATCTAGTTTAGTGCGCCCCATTTTCTATTTGTCTCGGTAGCTAGTGCTGCTTAGTATAATAAAGTAGGCATAATTCGAATTACTTAAGTACATAATAAATAATAACAGCTACTTAAACTATATATATATGTTATATAATTTTAGATTTATATTAATGATTAAATGCCAAAAGTAAACATGCCGCAATTAAACGGTTCTGGTTGATCTAAGTAAGTTAGCAAGTGTAGATTTGCCTCTGCTATTACCCTTGAAGATTGTCAATAGCAGGGGACGAGGTCTAGCCGGAAGAGGTGGCAGGTCTAGGCGGGCTCCTAAAGTGTAGGTAGCTATCTGCCAATGGGCAAATGGAAACAACACTTCACATGCAGACATAGCTGACCTGCCTATTCTTAACCAACGACCACCCTGCACCAGCACATTCATACATCATCTCATCAAATTTCAACCTCACGCAATCCGACTTCTATAGACATAACTAACTCACCACTCAACAGCCAAGTACGTCCGGGCCGCGCAAGCGATCAATATGGATGTCGTCCAGGCCGTCTCCGGCTACATCTCCAAGATGGTGTCGGCCGGAGACAGCGCATTTGGAGGCCCATCCGCAAAGATGAAGATCCTGCTCCTGGACCGCGATACAGTGCCGATTGTATCAACTGCCGTCACTCAGTCCGCCCTACTCAACCATGAGGTTTATCTCACAGACCGCCTAGACAATCCGGACCGGGAGAAGATGCGGCATCTGCGATGTCTCTGTTTCGTTCGCCCATCACCAAACTCAATACAGTTTCTCATTGATGAGCTTCGGGAACCCAAATACGGCGAATATTATCTCTACTTCAGCAACGTTGTCAAGAAGTCATCGCTCGAGAGACTAGCCGAAGCCGACGACCATGAGGTCGTCAAGTCAGTACAAGAGCACTTCGCCGACTTCATAGTTATTAACCCAGATCTTTTCTCTCTCGATATGTCTCTCCCTCGGCAGAGGATATGGAGCGACACCCCGGATATGTGGAACCCGGACTCATTACAGAGGACCACTGAGGGTATCATTGCTGCTTTGTTGGCATTAAAGAAGAAGCCACTAATTCGCTATGAGAAGAATAGTCTATTGGCAAGGAAGCTGGCTTCAGAGGTGCGATATCAAATCACTCAGGAAGAGCAGCTATTTGACTTCCGGAAAGTTGACACGCCACCAATACTACTCATCCTAGACCGGAGAGAAGACCCCGCAACCCCCTTGTTAAACCAGTGGACATACCAGGCAATGGTGCATCAACTACTAGGTATTCACAACGGGCGGGTCGATTTAGGGGATGTACAAGACATCCGCCCAGAGCTAAAGGAGATTGTGTTGTCGCAAGACCAAGATCCTTTCTTTAAGAAAAACATGTACTTGAATTTCGGCGACCTCGGAGGAAACATCAAAGATTATGTGGAGCAGTACCAGTCGAAGACAAAAAACAATGCGAACATCGAATCGATATCAGACATGAAGCGCTTTATCGAAGAGTATCCCGAGTTTCGCCAACTATCGGGAAACGTCAGCAAGCACGTCACCCTAGTTTCTGAGCTGAGCCGAAGGGTGGGCGCAGAAAACCTGCTAGAAGTCAGTGAGGTTGAGCAAAGTCTAGCATGCAATGATAATCATGCTTCTGATCTAAAGGTGCGTATGGAATCCGTACTCTACATCATCAACAGCTAGCTAACATCACTAGAATGTACAAAAACTCATTCAGCATCCTTCAGTTACACCTGAGAACAAAGTCAGCCTAGTCGCATTATATGCCTTACGTTATGAGAAGCACCCCTCAAATTCGTTAGCCATGCTCGTTGACTTATTGACCGCCGCCGGTGGCGTGCCCACTCGTCAAGCCGACTTGGTTGCAAAGCTTCTCATATACCACAACTCACTTCAGCAATCCCAAGCAGCAGGCGGCATTGCGGACATATTCGAGTCGGGCGGCATCTTCTCGGGCGCCAGGGCTATTAAGGGTTTGAAGGGCGTAGAAAATGTCTACACCCAGCACTCTCCACACTTAGAGGCGACTCTACAAGATATGATCAAGGGCAAGCTCCGGGACCAGCAATATCCGTTTGTCGAGAATGGTGGGACAACACGAGATAAACCCCAAGACATCGTCGTATTCATAATTGGAGGCGCGACATATGAGGAGGCTAAGACAGTGGCCGGTATAAATGCATCTTCGCCGGGAGTCAGAGTTGTGCTGGGAGGGTCCACCATCCATAACGGCGCCACGTTTTTGGAGGAAGTTGACGATGCCGTATCATCTTGGCCGGAACCACCTCCAACCACAGCCGCCGGCCGATTGCGGAAGGAGATCGGCCGAAGATAGGCGAACTGAAAACTTCACTTAGTTCTCACGTTACTATTGTATCTCTATTGCTTGGCAGCGAGGTGGATATGTTTATTGCGATGAATTACCAAGAGGCACAGAGAAGGAAGCCCACAGTAGGCGGGCTGTATACCCTGTAACAATATACGATAATTCATATAGCGCGCTTTATTAAGGACTTCGTAGAGGTAGTATGTTAAGTCGACCATACTAAATGACAATGCCCTTTTCCTCTACAGCAACTCAGATATGGCGAGGTAAGCACATACTACATGGATGGATATCATCTCAAGCCCGACATATGACGTAGCATTCCCCGACCTCCTCTTTGCAAAAGACTAGTAGACAAACCAAATCCCGAAGCACAAACTTTACATCGTTAGTTCGTATGCCTAATTTATTAGTCACTGAAGGCCCCAAAAAAAACAAGGAATTGGCTGACACTCCCCCCCCCCACGGAACAGAAGTGCAGCTCTAAACCACGACACTATCAAAAGATAAAAGGTTATCAGGTCGAGCAAACCTGACCGTCTGCACCTTATATACCAGTACCCTAATACTTAAGATAACAAGGCTAAGCAAGCATTTATTAAAAAAAAAAAAAAAAAAAAAAAAAAAAAAAAAAAATGAAGAAAAAAAAAAAAAAAATTTTTTATTATAAATAAATTTTAAAAAAAAATAAAAAAAATAAAATAAAATATAAAAAAAAATAAATAAAAAAAAACAAATAAATAATTTTTTAAAAAAAAAAAAAAAAAAAAAAAAAAAAAAAAAAAAAGGACTGCTAACTAACTAACCTTTTTTATTATTACTTACTTTTAACATAATATTAAACAAATAAAAAAAGTTTTGTTTGCGGTGAGTGCGGATCGAACGCACGACCTTCAGATTATATGATTGAAGTTAAACTTCAGTCTGACGCTCTCCCAACTGAGCTATCCCCGCAGTTGTTGATAAACACTCGTGTGTTTTTCTTTATCAAAAACCCTTTGACAAGACTTTCTCTTACAAACTTGCAACAGTCAGCAAAACAACGCATCAGCTCCGATCATGCAACTCTGGCAACATGTGGATGTAGAAAAGCCAAATGAGGGTCCTTTAATGATGGAAGAATACAATTAATCATTTCTGTTCTAACAGCGAACTATCTGGGGGCAGATCTCGAAGCCCTGATACAGAACAAGGAATTCATTGCCCAATCTTGTGCTTTAGGGCTAGAAAAGAACGCTCTAGAAGGCCGACGACGAGCCTACGATTTGCGGATGGCGAATGCAATTGTCTTGCTAAATAACACTCACGAGACCCAGGACAACGATTCTTCTCTCGGAGCACGACAGAGTGATCTGATGGAAGCCGAGCAGATCATAGGAAACGAGATTTATGTGTCTTCCCCCTACGCAGCCATTTCAATTACAATGCAACCACAAACAAGCCGAATCCAAGAGTTAAGAGAAGGCGGGAACACATGTGCATAGAGACGCTTTCCCATCTTCGGGGAATATCGAACGCAGACCAATCGGTTCCGTACCAGCAGGAGCGCTATAGTAAAGATCAAAAGATCAAAACGACGAGGCGGTTATCATAGTCATTAGTCGAGAAGTTTTATTGCAGGGAGGATCCCCATGTCTATTGGCTTTCTATCCATCTTACTTTAATTCTACACTGCACACACATACTGCTTATGGTATTAATCAGTCTAGCTGGAGCTTGCGGGCGGCTAAACCCCGGTGTCATTTCCGTATTCCTAATTAGCACGACGGAGGCATCTGCCACTTATCAGCGGGGATAGCTCAGCTGGGAGAGCGTCAGACTGAAGTTCAACTTCAATCATTTAATCTGAAGGCCGTGCGTTCGATCCGCACTCACCGCAATCTTCGTTTACCTTTTGTTTTTCTTTCGTTTCGTTATATTTTTGCAGTATATATAGTAATTATTGCTGTAAACATGACTCAAATGAATGTCTCCATCCGCCTAATGACGCCATAAGTAATTTTGGATGCCAAAACCTCTAGTGCTAAATAAAGGCTGCCTGCCATACCTACTACAAACAAAAACACTTCATTCAACATTTATATGCAAAATTCCAGGCCATCCGCTACTTGGGTAGTGAGTGCGTAAGCTATCCAATCTTTTTATTATCTTTACGATCATGGCAATTGAGTCCGGTAAGTGGCTGAGTGAAGCCTTCCCGGCACGTGTTATGGCAGCTCAAGCGGCCGCAGCCTCAGCCAAGAATGGAAGTAGAGAGAGGGAGTCCAGAAATCATAAGTATTGTTATTGATTGAAGCTTAGATACTCCGACATTTAAGACCGCTGACATAAATTACGCTATTCTTCAATTATGACGGCACTCATTTTTAATGATGTAATTAATATATAATGGGCCGTAATATCAAGATATCCCAAAGACGTACGTTGCTGTCGATAATAGCGGAAGGAGTCCTTCAAAATCTCGCCTTCCACGCTTCCCCCTATCATTATAGCAATAGAGCACCTTACATGCTTCGGTAATAGCATCACATAGAAATCGTAGTCTGCTGGGTTTCCCATGCCATTACACAACAATAAGGCGAGCGGTTTCTCCCGGTATTAGTAAGTCTTTCCTTTAGGCATGCGAGAAATTTGGCATAGATGTAGTAGGTGCTCTGTAGTTTGTAGGGATGGTTGTTAGGCAACTAGGTCGCAGGTGGAACGCCATGTGTTATGGGACAATTATTATATAAGGAAAGGAGATCTCCCTCAAACCTGAGGAGAGGGCTTAGGATTCAACAATATAAGCCCTGCCCCTATATCACGCCTTGAATACTACCCCAATACTCTAGAGATTATTCCACCGACCATTATTATCGTCCTCGTGCGATTCTCTCCGCTCTTAAGCCTACCTAGACTTGGTAAGTTGTTTCTCAAGCCCAAATAACAATTTCCCAAATCCTAAATAAACCGTCGTCCTCTCTATCTGCTACATGGTTCTAGAAATATTGTCTTCAATCGACATTTGTTTGGATCGATTCCTTCATCGAAGGCCATCTATAGCCCAGCGGACATATCTCCGTTTTGCTGTTTTTGGGAAAGATGTGCTAATATACTCTATGTGGCTAGATACTCATAAAGGAATTCTTTTTTATTCTTTTTTTCTTTTATTTCCAAAAAGTATGCAGCAATTCGATTGGAACTTCGAGCCGAATGCCACCTAAACTATGGATCTCAACGCTTCCCGTACGTCGTTACACACTTATTGTCGATAACTGTTGTTGATGTTGCAACATACTTGTGCGTTATTATAAACTACTTGGCTGAACGGGGGAATTCAGGTACTCTGGTCTGGTGCCGCAATTCGGCTATTGATTTCGCTGCCACTTCGGGGATGCTGTCATTGGAGCGGTGACGTCGGGACACTGAGGTCGTTGGAAGATTGGACAATCGATAGTTGGTTAGTTGGTGAGGACACTAGAGCTTTTTCTGTTGCCCGGCATTTGTCACGAGGAAGATGCTTAAGTAACACCGTCTTACTAGACCCGTATTACATAATTGGAGCTCCAATGACTTCTTATGTACAGGCTTAGGTTATGACATCTGCTTCCTGCTTCGCTGTGTAGGTACTCAAAAATATGCCACTAACCGTGGTTTTCGGCCATGCCATATTTCTATTGTTTTGAGTTTCAGCATCCCCATTGCCGCCGCTATTACTGACGCTTAAACATCTTCATGTTCTCCGTAGAGCTCGCGCCAGGACTAAGTACTTAGGCAGCCATAAGGAGTAGTAAGTAGCTGCAAGTAGTGTGAAGAGCACAGGTAGGTCACACCTCTCTACCCTAAAGGGCCAGAAAGCACCTACTGCATGGGAAAAGGGTATCTCAATCACACGGTGGCGTGCGTTACACATTCATCCCGGTATCGGCGAGGCGTAAGGATAACGGCTGGGGAGTGAAAATGAGAAAACTTTAATTAGTATCTGTAAATAATAAAATTAAGCAAGCAGAGCATTTATGCAAGCAACAACCCCGAGGTTGAGAGACATATGACAATCTGCAGTGAAATAGGCAAGGTTTGCGATGAAATACTCATGTATATGGCCCGTCTACTTCGCTACGCGTCTCCCGGGGACTTCGGTAATGTAGTCGAGGCTGCCGGAAATTCAATTTCCCAACAGATTCGGAGTCACCGGTCCTTTTTTTTTAAAAAAAAAGAAAGAAAAGAAAGAAAGAAAGAAAGAAAGAGGATTACACATGGGCCCTAAACATCAGGTAGCTAGATAAAATTCGAGTATGCGTAACGCCTCGAGCTAAAATACAGGACAGCACTTGTGACTCCTTTGCGCATATGATTGATTTACCACGCTCCGGATTTAGATGGGATAGGTTTCACGGTAGGTGTCGGTCTTTACTCTATCTCGGCAGTGAAGATTTCGGCGGCGTAGAACAGGGGCATGGGTGCTTGTCTACGGGCCGTCCCGAACCTTGAGGGCTATCGTAAGTATCTGAACGCATAGAACTACTCAAAGACGCTCGGTTAGGCGGGCAGTAAGGGGTATTAAAGCTAAAAAAAAAAAAAAAAAAAAAAAAAAACAGGTAAGTGGTTATTAAGTTTGCGGTACAATAGACGCGTTGGGTGTAAATAGACTATGCTCGCTGGAGAAAAAAGATCTTTTAGTCACAGGGACTGGGGCGCACTCGAAGTCTAATCCGAGTCACAAATTACATACGTTGTGATAAGGAAAGACTAGAAAGGAGGTTGGGATTGGGCTTCTAAGGTTTAGACGGCAAAAGAATTGTATCGAATGACCGGCGCAAATGAGAAGAAGTCTAGTTCTATTTGCCACCCACGTAATTACCAACCTATATAGACTCGTACGAAAGGACAGATCTCTTCGATCTGTCCCCACCGGTCCTCCCTGCAATCCGAAAGAAAAGCACCTGTTTGTCCATGCGCCCTTTGGAATGTATCGGTGTTCGGGCATGTACCAATGCATTTGCATGTACTAATACTTGGGCGATATTTGGAAGATACGTCTTCGCCCTGGGGCTGTCGTCACAAAGCCTAATTATATAGTCTCAGAATTGAGGGGGATACGACAATGACGCGTATTCGCTACTATGTGTTGGGTAAATCATCGCAAGGAAATCCAGCGTAGATGGTTTATGCCCCTGACAAGAGCCATGGGGAAATAGCATGTGAACTGGCGATAATTACTATGGCAGAAATGTTCACCGCCTGCATTATGACGTCGGGTGTGGCCAGGCCGCCTGCCAATTGCGGCAACTAACCTTATCGTAAATCCTTATCGAGAACTTTTGTTAGAGCCGGGGTAGGGACCCCTGCACGGCGTGTGGAATACCTACGCAGCCGTTGACATTTGTCACAAGTCCTGTACGTCTCGCCTACCTACAGGCTGTAGTACAAGTCGACATGAAAACAATATGGCAGCCGAAGGCCCTAGTCCGGCCGGCTCGGGCTGCGAGACGACGGCCGTTGGCACTCTCCTCCTCTAGGCGGAGAGGTCTTGCCACAGTGGCGCCGGAGGGAACAAGGTCAGTCATGAGTGCGCAACGCAACGAGCACAAGCGTGAGCAGAGCCTAACCTCAATTAATTGATCGGTCACAGGCCCTTCGACGTCGTCATCATAGGTGGTGGCCATGCCGGCACCGAAGCCTGCGCAGCCGCGGCGCGCTCGGGCGCTCGAACCGCCCTCATAACGCCCAAGATGGACAATTTAGGCGTCTGCTCCTGCAATCCCAGCTTTGGCGGAATAGGGAAAGGCACCATCATCCGAGAGATCGATGCCTTGGATGGCGTGGCGGGGCGTGTAATAGACAAGGCCGGCCTGCAGTTCAAAGTCCTAAATCGAGTCAAGGGCCCCGCGGTCTGGGGGCCCCGGGCACAGATCGACCGTGCACTGTACCAGAAGCACATGCGCGAGGAGCTGCAGGCGTACCCGAACCTGTCGATAATCGCCGGTAGTGTCTCGGACATCGTAGTGGACGAGAACGTAGCAGACCCGAATGGTGCCGCCAAGAGCCGGATCACGGGTGTGCGGTTAGAGACGGGCGAGGTCCTACCGACGACTCAGGTCGTCATCACGACGGGGACGTTCCTGGGCGGCGAGATACATATCGGGCTGGAGGCGTATCCGGCCGGGCGCATGGGCGAGAAAGCTACCTTCGGCCTGAGCAAGTCGTTACGCGATGCCGGGTTTCAGCTCGGCCGCTTAAAGACTGGTACGCCGCCACGCATCGCAAAAGACAGCATCAACTACGACGCCCTGGAGGTGCAGGCTGGCGACAACCCGCCAGAGCCCTTCAGTTACCTAAACGACCGTGTGTCCGTGACGGACCAGCTGCCCTGCTGGGCAACCTACACAAATGCGCGCACGCACGATATTGTGCGCGCCAACCTCGACAAGACCATCCACATCCGCGAGACGGTGAAAGGACCCAGGTACTGTCCATCTCTCGAGTCCAAAATTATAAAGTTCGGCGACAAGGAGAGGCACATCGTGTGGTTGGAGCCGGAGGGTTTCTCGAACGACTTAATCTACCCGAATGGATTGTCGATGACGATTCCTGCAGAAGCGCAGGAGCAGCTCCTGCGCACCATCCCGGGGCTCGAGAACTCGCACATGACGCAGGCCGGTTATGGCGTCGAGTACGACTACGTGGACCCGCGCAGTTTGAAGGCAACCCTCGAGACGAAGGCCATCTCCGGCCTGTTCCTCGCGGGGCAGATCAACGGGACGACGGGGTACGAGGAGGCCGCGGGCCAGGGCATCATCGCAGGCATCAACGCCGGGCGTGCGGCACAAGGCCTAGAGCCCGTCACCATCACCCGTGCCGACGGCTACATCGGCATCATGATCGACGACCTGATCACGA